AAACTAGGGCTGTACCAATTTGTACGAGCGGCTGACTGAGTGTAAAGAGGAAGCATGGAGCCGACTTTCTGGCCAATCAGGAAGTGAAGGGGCGTGTACCAATCAGGAAGAGGAAGCCGGGCAGCGAGTCATTACCCAACCCCCCCCCGGTTTCCTGATTGGCCAGAAAGCCAGCTCCATTGTCCATTGTGACAAGGGAGCATGATGGAGCCGGCTTTTTCGGCCAATCAGGAAGCTGGGCAGAGTGTAATGACTCACCGCCCAGCTTCCTAATACTGGAAGTTCTGGTATCGGGGGTAAGTATCGGAGCATTTGTGCATGTACGAGTACTCCCCCAAATACTTAATATTGGCACCGATGCCGATACTAGTATTGGTATCTGTGCATCCCTAATAAGTACCTTATTTTGCTAGACAGCTTGACATGTTATAAGAAGTAGAAAAAACTGGATCTACTGGCAGGATCAATAGGTAATAAAACTATGTTACAGAAGGATGCAGGAAAACTAACACTGGTGTGTTAATGCTAGTGACTTATATATGATGTATTTTTTTTTTTTTTGCCTAAAGTTACACTTGAAATAAAAAAAATGAAAATACATTAAAAGGGTAATTCAGAAAGCTGCCGAAGGATCCAGCCGTAGCTTCGGCTGATCCTTCGATTCGCTTCGGTTGCTATTCACAATGGCACGTAGAGCAGCCGAAGGTGGCCGACCGGCTCAGCCGAGCTGAAGGCATATGCTTCGGCTCGACCGAGCCGAAGTGACAGCGGAAGCGGCCTTTCGTCCCGCAAACAACAGTTGGGCGGAGTCAGCTGTGATCTCAACGGGGCTCGGCCACGTTGTAACAATATCAACTGGGCGGAGTCGGTCTTGACACCCAGTTGTTATTCATTGGCTGGGACCTGCTAGGAGATTCTAGCAGGTGGCGGCCAATAGGAAACAGTTGGGTGGAGTTAGCTGTCACTGCTAGCTCCTCCCATTAAAAAATTTAAATCTTTTTTATTTGAAAATTTTACTATTTATTTACATTTTTTTTAAAAATTTCAACCTTTTTTTTTCTTTGACTATTTTCATTGATTTTCTATTCTGCTCGGTACCATGGAGGTGCCGAGCCGAATGCCACTCGGCGGCATTCGACTATTCACTCACTGCCGTTCGGCCCCTATGTGAATGTTGGATTGGCTGAGTCGAAGTCCTTCTGCAAATGACTGAGCCGATGTACAGCTGATTTCAGCCGATGTACGGCTGAAATCAGCCGTACTGAGCCGAAGTAAATAGCCGAACGACGTTCAGCTCACTTCACTTCAGCTGGGTTATTCACTCAGCTGCCTTTGGCAGCTGTGTGAATAACCCCCTAAATGTTTTTAATGGACTCATTACTGTATTCATTTATTTTATTATTAAAAATATTAAAATATCCAGTTTACTGGAACTGTGTATGCCATTGTAATTTATATTGCTAAAGTTATGATGTCATATGTATGCTGTTCTGGTTTTTGCTTCTCATGTATGCATTTGACATATTTTCTCTGTGTGGAAAGGTCATCAGTTAGTTCCCATTCACATCTAGGTGACAGTGTTTTCCCGCATATTATTGCATGTTTTTGCCTAGCGTTGTTGAACTTTTGTTCGTGTTTTTGCGTGCATCTGACATGGGTACATTAGGTCACACTTTTCAGCTGGCAGATTGTGTGACATTATTGTAAACAGAAAAATGTGTGCAAACATGCGCAAAAACACTTGTGTTGCGCATTTCCAGGCATTTCCATTGAAGTCTATGGGGCCAAACGTGCAAAAAAATGAAGAAAAGTAGCTAATGTACTTTTTCAACTGACAGGTGTTTTTCTGCAAGTGACAAAACTCTCAAATGTGAACAGGGGTCATAGAAAACAATGGGATTCCGTGTATTGAGCATTTTATAGCTCCAAGATTTGAACTACAAAACACCTAGGTGTGAACCAGGACGTGCGTTGCATTTCTCTCGAGGCTCAGGCAGTCATTTTTGCTTCTCTAATTTTCTTATTTTAAGTCTAAGCATTTTGTATTGTTTTATTGCTGTTGATGTTTACACAGACATTTATTATATGGTACGGACCGTTAACAATTCCATCTCACCTGTTTGCACAATTTTGCTATATCTGTAATAGACTCTTATCACCAGACTGTGTTATGTCATGTGATGATGTTTTTTCCAACTCTGTGTCATTTATTTACTGTGTGTTTATCTTTTTTTGTACTGTTGTGCAAATTATACTATCTATATCTATCTATATCTATCTATATCTATAGATAGATATAGATAGATATAGATATATATATAAAAGTAATGAAAATACATTAAAAGGGTAATTCAGAAAGCTGCCGAAGGATCCAGCCGTAGCTTCGGCTGATCCTTCGATTCGCTTCGGTTGCTATTCACAATGGCACGTAGAGCAGCCGAAGGTGGCCGACCGGCTCAGCCGAGCTGAAGGCATATGCTTCGGCTCGACCGAGCCGAAGTGACAGCGGAAGCGGCCTTTCGTCCCGCAAACAACAGTTGGGCGGAGTCAGCTGTGATCTCAACGGGGCTCGGCCACGTTGTAACAATATCAACTGGGCGGAGTCGGTCTTGACACCCAGTTGTTATTCATTGGCTGGGACCTGCTAGGAGATTCTAGCAGGTGGCGGCCAATAGGAAACAGTTGGGTGGAGTTAGCTGTCACTGCTAGCTCCTCCCATTAAAAAATTTAAATCTTTTTTATTTGAAAATTTTACTATTTATTTACATTTTTTTTAAAAATTTCAACCTTTTTTTTTCTTTGACTATTTTCATTGATTTTCTATTCTGCTCGGTACCATGGAGGTGCCGAGCCGAATGCCACTCGGCGGCATTCGACTATTCACTCACTGCCGTTCGGCCCCTATGTGAATGTTGGATTGGCTGAGTCGAAGTCCTTCTGCAAATGACTGAGCCGATGTACAGCTGATTTCAGCCGATGTACGGCTGAAATCAGCCGTACTGAGCCGAAGTAAATAGCCGAACGACGTTCAGCTCACTTCACTTCAGCTGGGTTATTCACTCAGCTGCCTTTGGCAGCTGTGTGAATAACCCCCTAAATGTTTTTAATGGACTCATTACTGTATTCATTTATTTTATTATTAAAAATATTAAAATATCCAGTTTACTGGAACTGTGTATGCCATTGTAATTTATATTGCTAAAGTTATGATGTCATATGTATGCTGTTCTGGTTTTTGCTTCTCATGTATGCATTTGACATATTTTCTCTGTGTGGAAAGGTCATCAGTTAGTTCCCATTCACATCTAGGTGACAGTGTTTTCCCGCATATTATTGCATGTTTTTGCCTAGCGTTGTTGAACTTTTGTTCGTGTTTTTGCGTGCATCTGACATGGGTACATTAGGTCACACTTTTCAGCTGGCAGATTGTGTGACATTATTGTAAACAGAAAAATGTGTGCAAACATGCGCAAAAACACTTGTGTTGCGCATTTCCAGGCATTTCCATTGAAGTCTATGGGGCCAAACGTGCAAAAAAATGAAGAAAAGTAGCTAATGTACTTTTTCAACTGACAGGTGTTTTTCTGCAAGTGACAAAACTCTCAAATGTGAACAGGGGTCATAGAAAACAATGGGATTCCGTGTATTGAGCATTTTATAGCTCCAAGATTTGAACTACAAACCACCTAGGTGTGAACCAGGACGTGCGTTGCATTTCTCTCGAGGCTCAGGCAGTCATTTTTGCTTCTCTAATTTTCTTATTTTAAGTCTAAGCATTTTGTATTGTTTTATTGCTGTTGATGTTTACACAGACATTTATTATATGGTACGGACCGTTAACAATTCCATCTCACCTGTTTGCACAATTTTGCTATATCTGTAATAGACTCTTATCACCAGACTGTGTTATGTCATGTGATGATGTTTTTTCCAACTCTGTGTCATTTATTTACTGTGTGTTTATCTTTTTTTGTACTGTTGTGCAAATTATACTATCTATATCTATCTATATCTATCTATATCTATAGATAGATATAGATAGATATAGATATATATATAAAAGTATTGATATATTATATAAAATGTTTTGGAGAAAAAAATATTAAAGATAAGAATATACAAGACACTTGTTCCACTACTGCATTTGTTTAGTGAAAAGGGTTAACTGGCACAATTTTGTTCATGTCCCCAAAAGACCTACTAACATAAACGCATATATATTTGCTCTCTCTAAAATCAAAGTGAAAGCCACTCCACTTATTTTCACACGCACATTAAAATAGATGATTTGGCCCGTCTACATATATAATGGTACTCAAATATGCTGCCTTTGTAGCTATGGTAACTGATCCATTATTATCTCCGTTACAGTATTCTTAGCCCATAGCCTGAAAAAATCAAGCTGACCAGAGATATCATGAGCTATTACTTTGTCATATGGTCGAGCACAGCAAAACAGCAGTCAGTTGCAGTGTTTATTCTATGTGCGGTTGACAATGTGACCTGCTGTAAAGAGACAGAAAGGGCTGGAAAGGACAAAGCACACAGCAAGGTAACTTCAGTGTGCCAGTGATGATGACGGGTGAATAGCTGGCTGGTGTAAGCGACCATCCGCGTGGTGACGTAAGATGGAGCATTGGAGCATGAAGGGGGGGCTCTCAGTACTTGATTAAAAAAATTGATAGAATTGTATTGTATCTGGTCAGCTAAAGACATCACAGAATCAGTATCCCAGGCATTAGTTTGAGCTATAGATTTAGAAAAAAGGAATGACACAAATACAACAGAAGCTTTGACCTTGAGTTATTCAGATGAAAAAAACATAAACAAATCAGACAGCCTGATTCAAAGAATCTGATCTGTTTAATAAAGCTGGTGTACATATAATCTTTGGGTGCTAAATGAAGCTAGGCATTAGGATGCAGGTATCGCTTGTTGCTATAGACAGGCATATGGTGTCTGCTTGATGTCATGTGCAGTGGCTGCAGCAGGTAAGGTAACAAACATGTGGCAAGGGAGGATGAGCAGATAGACTTTGGTCCATATGCAGAGCAGCAAGTCACAGAGGGGAGTGTTTGCCACCGAGGGAGGTGTGTGCGGACGCTCTATAATCGGGGTAAAGCATTCAGGATTCAGGCTTACATGCTGAAAACACAGAAGAGCAGAGAGGGTGTGGCACAGGGAGGTAGTTCATAGAGATTCCCTGTGTATCAAACTGCTTGTAATGCTGATGCTGCCTCTTCCTCTGCTAAGCCACTGACAGGTCTGCCCTGGAGCTCCTGACAATAATAACAGTGCCTGAAGTAGGAAAAGATGATCAGCACGCAACGCCGGCACACCTTTTCACTCTAGGTTTACCAATCCACAGTTCAACAGCATCATCTGACAGTCATCTCTAACTGGTGAGTCTTTTGTTACATCTGTAATATTGTTTTGCACTGTTGCAAATACTGACTGATAATTTAATTCATCTCTACAAATACAATTAACTTTTACGGCAGCGGCATATACAAAACTCAACCGGTGCCGAGACAGTATTAAAATATGTTGGTTTATTTTTCAAAGTGCTAATCAGTTTAGGTAAACAATTTTCTGCTATACGGTAAAACAAAACACTCATACTGGCAGAGAACAGCAATGTTTGTGTACAAAGAAGGAAAATAAATAATGTTTGAAAGTTTTTGTTTAATCAGATATTACGAGCATAGCGCATGAATGTCTTGCACATGCAAAGTTTGCATTGTGGGATTTTCCTGTCCTGGAAGGCCAAGGAATATCTGACCTGAAGTGAATTAATAATCATTTAATCCCTCAGCATGTAATATTTTTTACCCTTGAACTTTGCAGTCATGGCCAGGCATGTGAATGCGAACAGGCTGAGCCTTTAAGGGGCATACAGGCATTTTCTTCATGGAATTAACTACATGCTATTTGAAATGATCTGACTTTTAAATTTTGCTGCTGGTCAGTAAGAGCCAAACGTGCATAGATGTAGTGAAACTATGCCCTCATGGGTGAGAAGCTTTGTGCAAGCTAAAAGTTAAACAGATGAAGATTAAACAGATTGCAGTCAATAAGTAGCTTACTGTTTCTGTGTTCTCCAGTACACGTGAGATCAGAGATTCCCTATCATGGCATGTCAAAAATCTGCCAATAAAAATATATAGATTAAAACAGCTTTGACAGTTCCAATAAAAATAACGTATTTATATTTTTAATTCTTGACATAAATGATAGCAATTAGTTTGGACTGTGGACAATTTATCTGATAGCATACTAAACATATTATGCATTTCACTTTTAAGTAACTCTTTTTAAACTGATATTACAGTAATAAATGATATGTGAAGCTTGCTTCTTTGCTATTTATCATAAATGCAGTAATTTGGTGCTCGGTATCAAGGGAACCTGAACAAACATGGACCATGTTAGGCACAATAAAAATTGTTATGTTCACACTGCTCACAAACCCATCTACTTTTGTATTATGATCAAAAGGAATATATTGCACTACCTGTCCTCATAATAAATGTGTGATATAATTTGCTTTTAATCTTTTAATCTCCTTAAATAGAACTGCCCACAGCCTATAAGGGGCATTTGTGTGATATAATGTGAATTTTCTGGCTATATGGAGTAAATAACATGTGAATTGGCAAGAGCTTTAGATGTAACCTTGTTGAATAAGGCAGTGCAAAAGGCGACTTTACTGCCTTCATAGCAGTCAAGATCATTTTTGATTGGTACCTAAACACAACAGGCAAAGAGATTGCAGTTTAATATGCTCAAATCAGTCAAAGCAATTTTTTATTGATTGTTGAGTACTTTCTATATAGCCACTGCTCTTTGAGGTCATTTACTGAAAAGCTTGCTATTATATTATATATTATATTTATATTATATATATTAATAAGGCAAAATATGGGGCAAGAAGTGCAGTCCACAACAAAAATCATTAGTCATTATTATCTGCCTACACTAAACTAATGAAGGTGACTAGAGGATTGGTTACAGGGAATAGCTGCTGATCATGGCTATATGCTTACTAGGGCTTATTATATGTTATATAAGATGTGGTTTTCTAAGCCAACATAATCACATAGATACATTCATGGTCACATATGTTTAAAAGTCCAACCTTGAAAACATGCTGGTTAAGCTGTTTAGTCATACTGAAGACAAATATATAATGTTTATATCAATTCAATTTATGCCATACTACCATATTATAATAAAAACAAAGACATGACTCGGCTGCTAAGTACACTCTAGAACAACTCTTTTTTCATAAATGCTTCCCTTGATTTTTTGCTTATTTTCAATTCTTTGGTGTTTACCAACCATTTTTGTCTTGAGAAAAAAGCTTGATATATTTCAAAGTGTAGATTGCTAATTTTATTACTATTAAAAATAGTTTAAAACAAAACTTCATAATTATTATATCTCTTAATGTTAATGTTAGTGTTAATAAAATCCAATTTTGCAGCATTCTTCTTTGCACTATAGTGTTCTTGATGTTGAGCAATGCATATGACTAATATAAGCATGAGTATAACAATCACTACAGGGGCATTGCATTCTGCATTTTCATTTAATGGGAGCTGGATGGAAGGATATATTTGTTTATTTAATAGCACATAGAAGCACCAACAACGGAAAGAAAGTTGAAAATAAAAGCCAATTTAAAAACGATAGATCTGTCTCGTAAAAAAGCAAAATGGGAAAAGTTGAAAATTAAATCTTATTTAAAAGTGAGAGAGCAATGTGCAAAATATAGTAATCCATAGTAACCAATGGACAATCTTTCATTTAACTAATCTAACTAAAATAACCTAAATTATGTTTGCTTCATTTGGTTTATTGTGCTTTTTGTGCTGTCCTATTACAGAAGCCCAACTGTTTTTTCAGTGCAAAAATATGCACTTTTGTATGCCTAATTGCACAGATATGAGAGGGTACTACTCTGAGTGTTCCTTCCAATGGTTTCTACATGGTGGTGTGACAAATTATTGAAGTTAAGCATCATTTGTTAGAAACTGAATTATTATATGTTACGCTATGTAGAATGAGAAAAAAAGTTCAGCTATTTGATGGAATATAGAGCAGCATTGTCTAGGGAAGGGATGGGCACAGACATGGCAATAATAAATTAAACACGTTTATACCACCTTTTATAAGCCACATAGCCCAAGAATCCTAAAATACTAACAGTGGTGAGTTTTCCAGAGACTGGCATTCTGAAAGCCTATAATTTATACAAAAGCAGTTAGGTCTATAGAAACCGCTATTTGGATGGCAGCTGTCCACTTTCTATTTCCAACATGCCTGATACTCTCCATATTTATTTAAAGCTCCCCTGTGGTTCATTCCCAAAGATCTGACCATTGGGCTAGGAATGTCCAACATATGGCAGTTTAGAAGGGGCGATGAGCACATATGTTTGGCTTCCGCCAACAGCACTACAGAGCAGAAAGATTTAACTGTACTGTACAGTACACTGCTGTATTGCGGTAAACTGACTGTACACTGCTGTGCCGTTTGACCCAAACAGTGCATGAAAATGTGCATTGCCTGTAATTGAGCTCACATTGAGCCTTCTTGCCTACTTACCAGTAGACATGAGCGTAACCCAAGTAAGCAGCCTAAGAAACATGTGCTGAGTACTCTTATGCATCCAGTGCCCTTGTGTTCTCAACCCTATCCATCTCTAACAGAGTTGTATTTTTTTAGAAACCCTTAGTCATAAATGAATGGAGCATAATTTGAAAAATCGTTATTTCAACTACATTCACTGGCCATCTGCTGGTATGTATCCCCTTTTACACGAATTACAATTGTTAGAGGCAACCATTGCTGGTAGTAGATGCCAACATATGTAAATAAGGTGTCTTCCTGTGCAGAGATGCTGTATTGCAGGGAGCATTGACATAAGATGATGGAGCAGTATTGAGCACAACTGGTCTGTATAAAAGACAATAGTGAATCACAAATTAATCATTGATTCAGCAAATTCGAAAATAAAACTTTGACTTTTGCTGGTGAATGTCATATTAGTTGTATTATGAATGTGGCAAAGCTTAATGAGATTTGGATTTCATATTAAAGAATTGTAAATCTACATTTTGGAGGTTGGGGTGTTAGTGAATGTGGGCTAATACCTAAGTGAATGGAGAAATTGGTTTTATCACTGCAGGAAATCGTTCTAAGCTGGAATAGTGTCAAATGTAATTAATAATGTGTCCTATTGGTTTTTAACCCTTGGGAAAGAGAATCTCTTGTTTTGGGTACCTCTCTCTGAGTCTTTTAACCACTTCAAGACCAGGTGTTTAGACCCCCTTCCTGGCCAGGCCATTTTTCAGTATTCAGCGCTGCGATACTTTGACTGACGTTTATTCCGTCATGCAACGCTGTACTGAAATTAATTTTATACCATTTTTTGGGGACAGATAGAGCTTTATTTTGGTGGTATTTAATCACCACTAAGGGTTTTATTTTTTTATTATAATTAGGAAAAATTACTGAAAATTTTGAAAAAAAAACGTTTTTTGTAACATTATGTTAGGAAACATTTATTATTACCCAGTTTTTTGGTCAAATATAAAAGATCAGGTCACGTTGGTTAAATAGACACCAAACATGTCAAGCTTTAAAATTGCGCGCACCCGCGACATCGCAGAAAACGACGGCAACCAAAATTGGCCATAGGCGACACTTTAAACGTTTTTACCGCTCATCAGTTTAGTGTTATCAGTGATTGATGGCCCTAGACTTATTGCTCTCACTCCGACG